AGGATTTGGACTACACATAACATTACGATTGACATCACCACAAGCAGCTAATGTGTCTAACAAACACCTGTTGATGGCTTTGATTGTGGCTTTCAAATTTCGCTTAAGAACACCGTGCAATTGATATGCTTGGCGAGTTGTCATCTTTAACGACCCATTTGCATGCGTATCGGCAATTTTATCCATTTCTAACCATTGCTGAGGTGTAGAAACTCCAGCTGGTACACGCACACGAACCATAAACGAATAAGCTTTTTCTAATCCTTGTTCCTTACGTTCTTCTCTTAAATCACGATCGTCTTGCTGATATATTCCGTGGAATTTGGTTAGCTTGGTATCTCTTTCGCACAATGCTCCAGTCGATGTGTCTTCGAGTCCCTCCATAATCGTGCCTCTCAAGTAATTCGATTCAGTTTTCATGTCATCGTCTGTCTTTTTACGCTCTACAGTTCCAATCAACTCCACCCCAAGAGCTTTCCAAAGTTCAGGTTCCCATGCTTGAAAGGCGGTCTCATACCCATCATCATCTTGATCATCGCCTAATCCCAAGTCCAGCAATTCGTTTCCGCCCAAAAGTTTCAAACGGTTGTATAAATCTTTTCCAGGCTTGTTATAATAAATCACGTCCTCTTCTCGTGGCCAGTATTTACTATCACCAAGACCAAACACCGCAAATTGGGTATCCGAAAAAGAAATCTCAGTAGTCGTAGATATAACCTTCCAAAACTCTCGAGCATTTTGCGGAAACTCTCCCTGTCCGGCTGTACATACAACAAATACCACATTTTTTTCAGTAGTAATATCTTCAATCGGGTATTCGTCCATAGCCATGCATCGAGCATTTACACCGCGCGCCTTGGCACCCTGCTGTAATCTTTTGGCTAGACCTTCTGCATTTCCGTTGTCCGACCCAAAAAGGATCAAAAGAGATGGTCCTGTTAAACCATTCATGAGTTTTTCGTATGCAGATGCTGCAAGTGATTTTTGACGTGATTTTACTTCGGATTCAAGAGAATTCGTCAATGTAGTGGAAAGTTCAGGTCGCGAATTCGTAAGTTGTGTGAGATGATTTTCTCTATCTAAGAATTCTTGGAGTTCTCGTTTAATTTGTTCGGAATCCAGGGTGAACGGTTCTTTAGCTTCCTTCTCCAACGCTGGATTCCATCGATACAGAGGCCAATATCCGGTATCGATTGCCAACTTTGTTTCCTTCAATACCTTGATAGTAGTATCATCTTCATTATGATAAGGTAGATATGCTAATACGATTGAAGGTCCCTCGTATCCTTCAGCTTCAATTAACGCATGCAAGGCCTGAGTGTACGAGGAGTACACTGCAATCGATGCTACGTAAGCATTTCCGTAATTCATTGCATACAAACCAATATCTTTTTTACGTTTCTCTGGATCGGATGCCGCACGTGTGGTATAAGGTTGAGTGTCGATGATTAAGAGATTAATATCTTTCCCTGAGGAAAGGACATGATGAACTCCGGATCCACCTATATCATACATCCAAGCATCCGAACCAACGAGCCAATTGGCCGGTTTGGAGAATAGATCTCTTTGATTATAGATTTCCGTGAGAGATGCATTCTTTTTGTAAACTTTGCCAAGATGTTCGATAGCCGTGTTACCAAGTTCCTTGGATTTCTTCGCATCATTTTTATTAAGGAGCCACTGTGATAGTGCTTTAAGTAGGGGATCAGGTAATGTGATGGATGTGTCCTTAACTACTCGCGCGACTGTCTCGGAAAATTTGTCACGCTTTTGAAGTTTAGCAAGCAGAACACCAAATCCAAATTCTGGAGTAGATTCGATCGTTTCTTTGTGTCCAACATTAGGTTTCGAGATTGCATTTGCTATAAATAACCTACCCGAAAAGACCTCACCTAACATGTTAAAGTAGGGTTTTTCTAAAGTTGGAATGTTATCGGTCGAAACCAATTTTCCATTTATACCGTTTACTTTTTGACCAGATGAAGGCATCTCTTTTCCGATAACAAAATTCCGACGCGGTTCGTTTGCCGATAGATTTTCGAATAATGCTGTCACGTCAGCATCAATAGATTCATTGTCAAACGCGCCGTACTGACCGCTCACAATCACGGGAACCTGACTTGTCCAGTACGTACGGTTCTGAAAAGCAGCAACAACATCAAGGTACAGAGGTGTCCATTTGGTCGTGCGTGCAATGACTTGTTCCAAGACAGCAACTTTTTTGATCTTCTTGGGAAGAATGTCGAAGAGATATTTTTCTGACCACGGCCTATACAATCTAACCTTTAACATACCAACTTTAAGTCTTTCCTGAAGCGCAACAACTTTTTGCAAATATTCCTCACGTTCGATGACTCTCTGCAAATGCGCTGAGCCAGAACCGAGAGTTACTATTAACGAATCCGACTCAACGTCACCAATATATTCCAAGGCCTTATACGATCGACCTGTTTCATTCTTGAACAGCGTGAAGACTTCCTCAGCCGATTCAAAGAAGTCATTCTTTGGGCTCACCGCTTCATTACTGTCATCACCATTAGTTTTTGATCCCTTTGTAGTAAGATAACGTTCCTTTGGATTATTTGTGGTTTTCAGTTGTTCACGATATTTGGACACATCTGATTCAGTGATCAACTTCTTGATTTTATTATTCCCTGGGTTATCGATTCTCTCGGAGGAAGAATCCCTGCTGTCGGCATCAAAGAAATGTATCACAGGAATTCCAACCTTGACCGACAATGCGTGTGCGATGAAAGTAAGATCGGTCGTTTCTTGAGTGCCCGTTGAATGTAAAAGTGCACAGCCAGTCTGTCTTAAAGCCATCACATCGGTATAATCCCCGATATTGTTGGACGGGTTACGATCGACGGCTACGTGAATGACAACTGACGCGCATCGATTGTTTGAGATCTTGTAAAGATGTGGGATGGCCGGTATCAGGATGTCTTTCGAAGAATTCAGAGGTATAACCACAGAAACAAGCGAACCATTGTCGATTGAGGTGTGCAAGTTGGAAAAGGGGTCGGCATCTTTGTGAAGAATCTTCACCTCGGTATTCTCATCAAATATATTTTTCACTCCTTGTTCACGATATTTTTTCAATTCATTAGTTGCGGCACTGCTTGAATGGTTCAATGCAGAAGATTTTGGACTGTTGGATTCTATAACGTAAACGACATTGCTTACGGCGTAGGCAGCCGATGCCGCGACAGTTTCTGCGAGTTTCATGAAATTAATTTAAGCAATCGTGACTAGAGAAATGATGAAATTTTTGTTCAGAAAAAAAATTTTTTTTTTTTTTTGCTGTCCTATTTATTTGTTATAGTTTCTGATCTACGCATTTAGCCTTGCTGACAAATAAAAATTTACTTTGAATACGAAAAAGTTTTAACCTTGGTTAAAAACGTGGGTAATCGAATTATCATTCTGATAGATAATATTTATTTTGTTAGTTTAGTTAGAATTATTAATTACACGTATATGGGGTTTCGATGTCATTTATTTATGATATAATATGTGCGATATCCACCATTCTTAATTTTTCATGTTCAGAGAAAAATTTATTAATTAAATAATAAGCCTGATTAGAAAAAAATGACGGCTTTTTATTTATTTTAATTTTGAATTGCGGGGAAATTTCACAGGCAAGGTGAAACATCATCATACCATTGATTCCAAATTCAACCCGAGCTTCAAAATATACATATCAAGATGAAAGGCATCATTATGTTTTTATTCGGCTCTAACTGATTACAGCACAAAAAATCAAAATACTGGAAAGATGATGTTCCATTTTTGGTAAACGAATTGCATCACGTTACACGGATTTCAAATATCGGAATACTACCTAAAAAAAGTAGAAATTATAATTATCACTTTACTCGATTCTCGAGACAACCACCGAGTTTTCGAACGGCGGCGCATTGTCTCCCACCTAACTTGTTAAAAAAGTGTATACGCGCATACATACACATTTGCGGTTATATAAACCCTTGTGAAAATTAGTCATTAACACTTTTTTTTATGCACATTTTTTTATGTGTTACAAAGGCTTCCTGCCAATTTTTAGATTTCGTGAGAATATAATCTGAGATGTCAAATCAGCTCGGGGGAACTCAGGCTGAAAAATGCCCATTATGCGCTAATGAGTCACCCTACATGTCTCTTTGGTTTCAAGAAAATACCGAGACATGGATAAAGTGTGATATCTGCCTTGTATGGTGTCATACTACCTGCCTTAAACTCCCTGCCGAAGAGTGTGACCGAATCGATGAATATCACTGTCCTGAGTGCACGAAGGTCTATGGTCCAAGTACTTGTAAGTATGTGGGTTTATGTAAAATATTGACTTTTATTCTTATCACCAATCAAATTCTTTATCAAAATCGACGAAAAGGACTCTTTTTCTTTTTTATGTAATCATGTTATTTAAGGTTAGGATTTAGACAACACATGCGTACATGCATATTCGATTCTGATTAACCAAATTTGTCGTTTTATAAATGTGTCATATAAAGATAAAGTGCGAAAATCGCTCCGTGAACATTCTCGAGTCAATTACGCAGATCTTGATAATGGAATAACCGGTAATCCTTACAAGTGGAAACGAGTAATTGACTCCAAACATTTTGTCAGGCATAGATTTCAAAAGATTTGTGGTGAACTTTTAACGCTTGATTGGATTCGTCGACATGGGTTCGAGGAACCAATCATTGTCGAAAAGCCGGATGGACTCGGCATGAAAATGCCCTCAAATGATGTCACGGTTAGTTGCATCGCGGAAGCTGTTGGTAAGCGATTCGCTCCAAACAATGAACATGGTTCCTTCGATTCACTTCTAAACTGCACACACTACTTATCTTTAGGCTACGACATGCCAGTAGATGTTATTGGTAAAACCCGCTCTAATACTCATAACTATGCGATACAATTTCATATAAACTAAGCGGTCATTAATTAGAAAATGTCTCATAGACGTTTCAACTCAGCAAGAACAACCTGATTGGAACATGTATAAATGGGCTTCTTATTTTGATGGGCCGAAACGAGATCAGGTGTTAAATGTGATCAGCTTGGAAATTAGTGGGACACCACTGGGTGACTCAATAGTCCGACCGCGCATCGTGAGGTGCGTGCTTCCTATCTCAACTTCTTATACCACACCGTGCGATCTTTTTAACCCCCAACTTTCGACTTTCTTCAATCAGGGAGCTTGATTGGGCTGACAACGTATGGCCGGCCGAATTAAGGGATTTGGAATTTCCAAAAGTACAGCTTTATTGCCTTATGAGCATAAAAGATAGCTTTACTGATTTTCACATCGATTTTGGAGGAACTTCTGTCTTTTATCATGTCATAAAAGGATCAAAAGTATTCTACTTCGTTCGCCCAACCTCTCCGAATTTGAGAAAGTATGCGAGATGGATAACATCACCGGAGCAATCGATGACTTTTTTCGCAGATTTAGTCAAAAATTGCTATGAAGTTCGTTTGGTTGCCGGCAACACAATGTAAGTTAAAAACTTTTTCGTATATCTATGAATGCTGATCAATTAAAGTAGAAGGATTTGCCTTTTCTCTTCCTTCTCTCAGGATCATTCCTACTGGTTGGATTCATGCAGTTTACACGCCCGAGGATTCAATAGTTATTGGTGGTAATTTCTTGCATGGATTTAACATTGGTGGTCAATTGGCTATATACGACATTGAAAGGCGTAC